CACCCAGGGCACCCACCCCACACTCCAGCACCCATCCCACACCCAGGACACCCATCCCACACCCAGGGCACCCATCCCACACCCAGGGCACCCACCCCACACTCGTGGCTGGGCTCGCACAGCCCATCCCAGGATTGCACCACCCGTGTCATGCTCACAGCACCCACACTCAGCTCACAGCACCCATACCAGGCTCACAGCACCCACACCACGCTTTGTATCACCCAGGGCAGTCTCACACACCCATCGCACACTCCAACACCCATCCCATGCCCACAGCACCCATCCCACAGTCACACACCCACCCCACACTCCAGGACACAGTGCCAGGCTCTCACCCCCCCTGCCACTCTCACAGGACCTGTGCCAGGTCTGTACCACCTGTATCAGTCCCACAGCACCCGTACCACGCTCATGGGACCCACACCAGGCTCACAGCACCCACACCAATCCTGTGACACCCACATCAGTGGCATGGCACCCACACCAGCCCCCTGGCACTGCCCCTACTGTCACCCAGGGGTGTCCTCACCCAGCAGGCATCACCACCCAGTGCCGTCCCATCACCAGTCCCACTGGTGGTACCGAGGGGGTCACAGCTGGTGTCCCCCCCGACCCCTGTGCTGGGTGTCACTCCTGTCCCTCACCCTGACCCCCGTACCGGGTATCACTCCTGTCCCCCATTCCCGACCCCCGTGCTGGGTGTCACCCGTCCCCCACCCTGACCCCCGTGCTGGGTGTCACTCCTGTCCCCCACCCTGACCCCTGTGCTGGGTGTCACTCCTGTCCCCCACGCGGGGCCTCTGCTGGGTGCCCCCAGCTCGTGCAAAGGGTGTCCCGAGTTCGGGGGGTCTCGGGCCCCCCCTGCCAGGAGCGAAGGGCCGCGGGAGCGGCCGAGGGGCCGGGGGGGAGGCTCGGGGGGGCCGGGGCGGGCACCGGGGCCACCGCCGGGGGACAAAGGTCCGCGGGGACACTGTGACAAGGGGCCCATAAACTTATACAGCCCCGGGCAGGAATTTTCCACCCGGATCCCGCCGGGAATCGGGGGGTGCTGTGGCACCCACGGCCACCCGGCGGGGTGGGGACCCCAGAGTGCCCTGTCAGGGGGTTCCGGCATGCTGAGCAGGGTGGGGGGGCCACGGAGTGCCCCGTGGGGGGCCCCCGGGGTGCTGGGTGGCATTGCAGGTCCCGGGGTGCCCCGTGGGGAGGTCCCAGAATGCTGGGAGAGGTTGGGGGGCCCTGGGGTGCCCCATCAGGGGGTGCCGGGGTGCTGAGCAGGGTGGGGGAGATTTGAGGTGCCCCATCGGGGAGTCCCGGGGTGCTGGGTGGGGTTGGGGAATCCCGGGGTGCTGGGCAGGGTTGGGGGTCCCTGGGTTGCCCTGTCAGGGGGTACCGGGGTGCTGGGCGGGGTTGGGGGTCCACGGGGTGCCCCATGAGGGAGTTCTGGAATGTTGGGAGAGGTTGGGGGGCCCTGGGGTGTCCCATCAGGGGGTCCCGAGGTGCTGAGCGGGGTGGGGGAGATCTGAGGTGTCCCATCTGGAGGTCCCGGAACGCTGGGTGGGGTTGGGGGTCCCTAGGTGCCCCGTGGGGGGGGTCCCTGGGGTGCTGGGCAGGGTGGGGGTCCCTGGGGTGCCGGTCACGGCGGAGTTGCTGCTCAAAGGGCTCTTTGTTCTCGGTCACGCGCCGGTGGCGGCGGTTGCGGAGCGACGGGAGGGACACGGGCACAGGCACCCGGCCCGGGGGCACCCGAGGGGGCCACACCGGGGCCTGGGGGCACCTCGGGGGGGGCACAACCCCGGGGGGGGGAGAGGACGTCACCGATGCCCATCACCGTGGCGTCGGGGCACGTGGGTGAGGCCCGGCCCTGTGTCCTCAGGGCACCCACGGCCGCGGCATCCGTGTGTCCTGGCGTGCCTCTGGCACCAGGGCGACCGTGCCCGTGGCTTCAGGGCACCTTGGGGTGCTTGTCCCTGTGGTGTCTGTGTGTCTGAGGGTGCCCATTCCTGTGGCATCTGGGCACCTGTAGGTGCCCATCCCTGTGGTGTCTGCGTGTCCCTGGGTGCCCATCAATGTGGCATCGGGGCTGCACAGGGTAAACCATCCCCGTGGTATCTGTGTGTCTGAGGGTGCCCATCCCTGTGATATCGTGATTGTGTAGGTTAAACCACCCCTGTGGCACCTGGGTGCCCATCCCTGTAGTGTCTGGGCACCTCTCAGTGTCTATCCCCACAGTGTCTGTGTGTCTGAGGATGCCCAACCTCGTGGCATCTTGGTCGTGCAGGTTAAATCATCCCCACAGCATCTGGGTACCCATCCCTGTGACACTGTGGTGTCTCTGGGTGCCCATCCCTGCGGCATCTGGGCTGCACAGGGTAAACCATCCCTGTGGTGTCTGTGTGCCTGAGGGTGCCCATCCCTGTGGCGTTGTGGCTGTGTAGGTTAAACCATCCCCGTGGCATCTGGGTACCCATCTCTTTGGTGTCTGGGTGTCTCTGGGTGCCCATCTCAGTGACATCGTGGCTGTGCAGGTTAAACCACCCCTGTGGCACCTGGGTGCCCACCCCTGTGGTGTCTGGGCACCTCTCAGTGTCTCTTTCCACTCTGTCTGGGTGTCTGCGAGTGCCCATCCCCAAGGTATCTGGGCACCTCTGGGTGTTCCCAGTGCCATCCCCCACCAGCTGTGCCGCCCCCGCTGCCCCCAGTGCCCGCCCAGCACAGGACAGGCGGTGCAGGGTGTAATGGTCGTGGTTTATTTGCCCGGTGCCAGGCCGGGGGGTCAGTGACGACGACACTGCCACGCTCAGTTGTCCCTTATGGTCTGCAAGGGAGAGGCTGCTCAGGGTGGGGAACCCAACACCACCCTGGCACCCCTGTACCCTGACACACTGGCACCCCAAAATCCTCATACCCTGACACACCAGCACCCTGACACCCCAACACCCTGACACCCCAATAGCCCAACACCTTGGCACGTCTGCACCTCAACACCCTGGTGCCCCAACACCCCGATACCCCAACACTCTGGCATCTCTGTACCCCAACACCCTGTTACCCCAACACCCTAACACCCTGGCAGCCCAATATCCCAATATCCCAACGACCCGGCACCCCTGCACCCTGACACCCTGGCACCCAAGCACCTTTATACTCCAACACCCTGGCACCCCAATACCCCAACACCCCAATACCCCAACACCCTGGCACCCCAACACTCCAGCACTATGGCACCCAGCACCCTGGCACCCCAATAACCTGGTACCCCATTGCCCTGGCACCCCCAGTGCCCATCCCAGCATCCCAGAATCCCGGCACACTGACACCATGGCACCCTGGCACCCCAGTTCCCTGGCCCCCCAGAACCCAGCACCCTGGTACTCTGGCACCCCATGGCCCTGGCACCACGGTACCCTGACCCTCCCCTGGTCCCCACAGCCCTGGTACCCCGGCACCCCAGAGCTCTTTGTCCCCAGCTCCATGATCCCCAAGCACTCCAGTCCTCAAGCACCCTGGTACCCTGGTATCCCAGTCCCTGGCACCCTCGTACCCTGGTATCCCAGTTCCCTGGCACTCCCACGCCCTGCTATCCCAATTCCCTGGCACTCTGCTATCCCAATTCCCTGGCACTCTGCTATCCCAGTTCCCTGGCACTCTGCTATCCCAGTTCCCCATCCCCTGGCTGCCCAGTCCCTGGCAGGTGCCCCCGTGCCCACCTGTGTGATCCAGTCCTCGAAGGCGGACACCCGGGTGAACACCGTGGGCTTTTTCTCGGCGTTGCAGCCCAGGGCAGACACGAAGCTGGCGATGCCATGGACCTCCCATGTACCATCCTCAGCCTGGCAGTTCAGGGGGCCCCCCGAGTCGCCCTGGGGTGCACAGGGTGAGATCAGCACCAGGGGGGTCCCGGGCTGTTCCCCACACCTTGCCATGCCAT